AGCATATGGTCTATCTTGGTAATATAGGTAATATAAGTTCCATCTACACTTGAAAAAAATGTGTATTCTGTAATTGTTAGTTGGAGTATTCTAAATATCTTGGTTTGTGATGGTATTGTGTTCTTCTATATCTTTGCTGAGCTTATAAGTGTTCTATCAATTGCTGAAAAGAAGGGTATATATTCACACACTATAACTGTGTATTTTTCTTTGTCTCTTTCTTTCAGTTTACCAGTTTTTGCTTGACTTGTTTTGTAGCTCTGTTGTTTGGCACATACACATTGGGATTTGTGTCTAATTGGTAGATTGGCCCTTTTGTCTTCATAGGGTCCTTCTTTGTCTCTAGTAATTTTTTTTTCTGTAGTATGTGTTTATCTGGTATTAATATAGCCATTCCTGCTTTCCTTTGATTAATGGTTGAATGATCTTTTTTTATTATTATTAATTTTATTTTTTTTAAAACATATAATATATTTTTATCCCCAGGGGTACAGGTCTGTGAATCGCCAGGTTTACACATTTCACAGCACTCAACATAGCACATACCCTCCCCAATGTCCATAACCCCACCCCCCCTCTCCCAACCCTCCTCCCCCCATCAACCCTCAGTTTGTTTTGTGAGATTAAGAGTCACTTATGGTTTGTCTCCCTCCCAATCCCATCTTGTTTCATTTACTCTTATTATTTTCCACCTGTCTGTATTAGTATATTTGAAGTCTGTTTCTTATAGACAGCTTTCTTTTTAAAACATTATTTTTTTGTTGTTGTTATCCTTGTTTTTTATTGCTCTGTTTTTCCTGTCTTCCTGTGGATTACTTGAACATTTTTTGGAATTCCATTTTGATTTATCCATAGTGTTTTTGAGTATATAGCTTTATATAGCTTCTTTTAGTGGTTGCCTTTTTAGTGACTGGATATGTATTTTATCACAGTCTACCGTTGATGTCATTTTACCAATCCAAATGAAGTACAGAATCTTTACTTCCTTTATATCCCTTTACCCTCCCCCATTTATAGTATATCTGTCGTAAATATTACCTTTACACACTCTCAGAACCACAGCAGTCAGTGTTAAAATTTTTGCTTCAATGATAAAACATAATTTAGGATACTCAAAAAAGAAAAGGGAAACCTATATATTTACTCATATTTTGCTTATCATGTTTTTTTTTTCCTTCCTGGTATTCCGTTGTTCCTTTTATCGCTTCCTTTGTGTTTATAAGACTGCCTATAGCCAATTTTTAGACTAGCCCTGATGGCAACAAATACTTTATTTTCCTTCATCTGAAAGCTCTTTATTTTTTATTCCTGAAAGATAATTTCACTGGTTGCAGGAAACTGAGTTGACAGTTCTTTTTTTTCAGCACATAAAAAATACTTGGCCATTTCTTCTGGCCACCATAGCTTTTGATGTAAAATATGCTGTCAGTCTAAGTGTTTTATATCTGTAGATGAGGTGTCATTTTTCTCTTGCTGTTTTGTAGATTTTTTTTTCTTTATCCTTTCTTTTCAGATGTTTAATCATGATGTGTCTTGACATAAATTTCTTCAGGTTTATTATATATGGAGTTTAGTCAGCTTCTTTAAATCTGTACATTATGCTTTTGGGCCGGATTTAAGAAGTATTCAGCTATTATTTTTTAGGGACTGTTTCATCCCTCCTCTCTTTCCTCTCTCCTTCCAGAACTCCAGTGACCCAAATATGTTAGATGTTATATAGATCCCTGAGGCTTTGTTCATTTTTTTCAGTCCATTTGCTCTGTTATGCACATTGGGCAGTATCTATTGCTCTACTGCCATTTAACAGTTTTTTCATCTGTCCCTTCCATTCTGTTGAGCCCATCCACTGAACTTTTCATTTTGGTTATTATATTTGTCAGTTCCAAAATACTTGATGCTTTTTTACATCTTCTAATTTTTTGCTGAGTGAGACTTTCTGTTTCTTTCCTGTGGCTTGCTATTTTTTTATTTGCTCCAAACATGTTCCTAAATGTTCAGTGAAGCATTTTTAAAAATCACACATAGTTTAGAACCCTTGCCAGAAAATTCTAACATCCCTGTCATCTCAGCGTTAGCATCTATGGGTGACTTTTTACATTCTGTTTCAGATCTTCCAGGTTCTTGGTATGACAAGTAACTTTGGATTGAAGCAGGATATTTTCTTATTCTTCTCTGAGATATTTTGTACCTTATTAAAACCTCCTATTTTGGTTGACTTTCTCTGACATCACTCCATTAGGAGAAATGGGGAAGCACTGCATTTTTACTGCCAGGTGTAGGTAGAAATCTAGTTTCCCCACTTGAATTCTGCTGACATCCAGAGAGTGAGCAACTCCTCATTACTGCTTGGCAGGGGTGGGAGTTCCAGCTCTTGTGTGGTGTCCACTAGTGGGGGTAGCCTTATTTGTGTTGATCAATGGTGAAAGTCCTAACTCTCTACTAGGCGCCCACTGATAGCACCACAGTGGGAGGGAGAAGGACACCTCATTACTGTCTAGCTGGGGCAGGGGAGAGGGGTGGATTCCAGGCCCTCCGCATGGTCTTCACCGACCTCATGAGGGTGGGATACCTTGTTACCAGTCAACAGACATGAAAGTCCTGGTTCCCTGTATGACCTTCTCTGATACCACCCTGGTGAGGATTTTAGGATTCCACCTTGGTTAGGGTTCAGATGTAGGCTTCCCACTAATACTTTTTGGTGTGAGTAAGTGGGTCCACAGTTTCTCTTTTGTGTTTGGCTGGAGTACAATAGTTGTCTAAAAGTTTTCTGTCTTATTGGGCTGTACCTTTCTTGGTTCTTTGGCTAGAGAAACCAGGTTTTTGTTGGGGGCATTTTATTTATTTATTTATTTATTTATTTATTTATTTATTTTTGGTCTGCACCCATTAATCTGCCTGGGTTGTTAGCCTCTTTGCTTCAAAGTCTAGGATATATTGGGCAAAAAGATGACCCGGGTGTTGTTTCTTAGGCCCTGGGGTTGTTACCCAGTCTGTCTTCTGCTTTCCACCTTTCAGAGTCTTGGTATATTTGTTTTATATACAGTGTCCAAATTTTCTCAGTCATACTTAACAGGAGGAATATAGAAAAGTATGTGTATAGTTAGAAATTTGAGATAACATTAGATCTGTCTCTCCTGCTGAATTCAGATCTTAACTTTAACATACTCTGAAGAAAAATCTTTATGGCAAGTTTTAGCAGTGTCTTCCTTAAACCACTAGGATTAGTTTGTATTTTTAAGGATAGAAATGGTCCTATTTTATTTCATTTTATTTATTTATTTATTTATTTAGAAAAAGAGAGAACACAGTGGAAGCAGGGGTAGAGGCAGAGGGAGAGGGAAAGAGAGACTCTTAAGCAGGCTCCATGCCCAGCATGAAGCCCAGTGCAGGGCTTGATCTCACAAGCCTGAGATCATGACCTGAGCTGAAATCAAGAGTCGGACACTTAACCAACTGAGCCACCCCCCTGTCCCAGAAATTGGCCTATTTTAAATTAGTGACAGAGGCACTTATAACCCTTATTCTTACGTTATAAGAGGCACTTATAACCCTTATTCTTAGCCACCCCCCTGTCCCAGAAATTGTCCTATTTTAAGTTAGTGACAGAGGCACTTATAACCCTTATTTCTTACAGAAAAATAAAGTTATAATAATTACAATGTATAGAAAAACAAGTCTATTCAAATATACTTCAAACCTTATAATTTTAATATTCTTTTCATATAGCCCTTACCTTGTTACATTCTCTTATAATTATGTAGTGGAAAACAAAATTATATAGTTATATAATCCAAAATGTTTTTCAAAAGTAAATTATTGTTCTCAGTGACTGTACATGTCTGCATATCTCCAAAGTACCAAATTGGTATAATTAATTCATTGAATATTTATTAAAAACATTGTATAAAAAACAGTATGTTCTGTCTTTGCACTAGAGAAACAATGAAGAGCAAAACATACATAGTTACAACTTTAATCAAATGTAGTATTTTTTACAATAAATGCCAAAATAAAAATGAAATCAAATCTTCTATGAAAGCATTTTATGTGTTTTTATGAATAGTGCTGCTCAGGAAAATTAGAATATTATCTCTTGAGTATGTTACTCCAAATACTGTAAATAGAGAAAAACAGACTTCTCAAACAGTGGCATTTATCACCAGTGTTTATTGAAATTAAGTTGAAAACAAAAATTATATCATGAAACATTCCATTGATATACAATGAACAGATTTCAGTATCTTCTGAACTATCTCTTGGATTTTTAATATTGGTTTAGAGCATAACATGGTTTAGACAATGTTACCCAATGAAGGCTATGATTGTTAATGGTTTATATTAGCTGAAAGCGGTAAAATCATCCAAGGACTCTGTTAGTGTTAGAATAATAATTTACCAAGACAATTACCACATACTGGAATTTTTTGCAGCTCTAATTCAGTATTATTAATAATGGATAAAATTGCACTTTTCTCAGGTTGCTGTGGGCAGGAGGGAATTACTTCAATGAATATTTCAGCACATTATTTTAATCATTGTTCCACCAAATCCAACTGAGCAATATTTTATGGTTCTTAATTCAGTCTACTAAGAAACCACAGTCATTAAATTGCAAACTATTTGTAGTGAGGTCTATCCTGTGATTTACAAGCCTTGTTAAAAACAGTGTAAAAGAATGAAAACTGTGCCATTTATACTTGTAATTTGATGCTGCAGTTACTAAACTCCCCATGATTAATGTTTTCAGTAGATGGAAGAACATTGTAGAGAAAGCATAACTGAGTATTATAATGCTTAAAATACAAGAATGTTACTATTTTAAGTTTTGGTCATTTGTACAGGAAACATATGTAAACACAAATGTAAAAGATAAAGATCTCCAAAATCATCTTAATTTTCCATCGAGACCAAGGAAATAAAGCTTTAATGTTGTGTAAAAAATGTATTTCCCATTTTACATTGTTATTAATAGTGACGACTGTTTATTTCCTCATTCCTAGCCAACTGCATGATTTCTGGCGTTTGGATTACTGGGAAGATGATCTTCGCCGAAGGAGACGGTTTGTTCGAAATGCATTTGGCTCCACTCACGCTGAAGCCCTTCTCAAAGCTGCAGTAGAGTATGGTCAGTACCAATGCCTCTTACACAAAAATATTCTGGATATGACATAACTCTTTGTGGTTGATAATTCATTTCTTCCCTAGCACTTAAAATTCTCTAGGTTGTAAGTCAGAAATACTGTCTTCTGCTTTATCCTTCAGCATCATGCAGGTAACACTTAATCAACCTAGTTTTTCGCCTGTGATGTATTTTAGACCTTTCAGCTTCTTAATAGAGTTTATATAACTCTATGTAAGACTCTGCATAACTGATTATTACCCAACATCCATCCATCTCATACAGCCTAAACCAAGAGCAAAGTGAATTTCTTTTTCAGTGCCTTTTCAACTTTGGTGACCTAGACACAAGGTGTGAAAAATATATACAATTGTGATCGCATACTCAGACTTAAATATTTTTATGTATAATTTGTATATGTGTACACACACTCATGTATACTATGTGAATATATATATGAAATATATATACACATATGTGTGGTGTTTTTATTAATATATATGCACATATTTGTGTATTTAACTGAAATAAATGCCTTATTAATAATCTTATTATGTAACATTTTGTATTACTATTCTATTCTTTTCCGTCTAAAAAATAAAATTAAATAAATAAATAAAATAAAATAAATCCTGCTACAATATGTCCATTTAAGTTCCCAGTCCTCCATTGGGGTTGCAAATAAAATTTTAAAAAGACCATCTCACATTAAAGGTATCAATTATCACACAGTAGAACTAACCCTAATTTGTCCTTTAAAAAAGTGTAACAGGGATGCCTGGGTGGCTCAGTTGGTTAAGCAACTGCAGCTCAGGTCATGATCCTGGAGTCCCAGGATCAAGTCCTGCATGGGGCTTCCTACTCATTAGGGAGTCTGCTTCTCCCTCTGACATCTCTCCTCATCTTCTCTCTCTCAAATAAATAAGTAAAACCTTAAATAAATAAATAAATAAATAAAAGGTATAATAAATAGAAATTACCAAAATATTTTTATAATTTAATAAAAATACTGCATTTTAAAATTAAATTAATACTTGCTGTCTACCTGGAAATCTAAATAGGACTATTTTGTCCCATTTTTAAGTTCTCTAATAAGTTTAAGTGTGATTTATCATCTCAAAATTTTATAAATTCTATACACTGAGAAAATACCATTAATGAATACTGTTTATTCATTTTTGTTATTAACTACTTTTATTCTTAAAATTACTTTGTTATTATTATGTTAATTTTCATTTACTTGAATGTGATAAGTGAGCCATCTGCTTTAAAATTTATGTAATTTATAAACATTCATAACTATTCATGTTCTTGATGGATTAAACAGAGAAAATACTTAATCCTATTAAAAAGAAAATGTACGAAGCTTTTGCAATTTGTTGTGCAAATAGTCTGTGAATTGATATAACTTAGTAAGAGTCAAACATAATTAAATAAATACATGAAGATTTCATATGAAACTTATGCCTAAGATAAAAATTACAGCATAACTTTATATAGTAAAAGTAACTAATGGAAAGAATATACTAAAAAAAATAGAAAAAATTAGGAAAAAACCTTATAGTTGACCAGTAGTATAGAGGATTTCTTTAATCAACAAGAGAGATCACCAAAGGGATTTTAGCACTTAAGGTATTTAGCACTTAACTTGAGGTATTGTATTTATGCTTAAAATGAGGTATTATCTTTATGCTCTACAGAAGAGATTTTTAGAAATACCTACTTCAAGTGGCATACTTTGTAATATGAACTTAAAATAATTTAAACTTCATTGCATATACCTAGTAACTTAGACTTTTTCACCAACACATCCTGTTTGAATTCATCCCATTTGAAAATAGGAAACTCTAGAGATAATTTATAACAGAGTTAGGCTAAATTGATATTATTTGTGATGATGAGTTGCCAAAGGTTTAATTATATAGGATCCACATTTTACTACATTCAGCATTCTATAGGTTGCTTTTAAAGAGTGTCTTAGAAAAAAAAAATTGGGGTTCTCTGTAAAAGTGGATGCTTTAATTTATAAAATATCTCTATTCTTAAACCATTGTTAAAACCTATCAGAAACGAATTTTAAAATCTTTTAAGACATCTGGTTGTCAGGTTTTGGTAATATAGTATCTATTGTTAATGAACCTAAACTGAAAATAGTAGTCTAACTTTGAAATAGATGGAAGCTCTGGGTGATACTAAATATTCTCTGTGTGTGGTATAAGAGTATTTTAAAAAAATATGTAGCAGTTTATGAATTTTAAATACTGAATCATCATCATCAGTATTCAGAACTTACTATCTCTCCTGAGTTGGGTTCTTTGGTAGAAGTAAACAGGGGCATGTTTTTATTTTATTCATATCTAGAACAAAGACCACATGTATGCCATAAAACATCCAAGAAAGCTATATGGTACCCATGCCAAAGTTATTATCACATCCTTTTTCTGGATTAAGGTCATGTGATGGAAGACAAAGGAGAACTAAAACAATTCTACCTCCAAAACAATTCAAAATCATACCCCTTCAGCCTTTATCACAGTTCACATCAGTGGACTTTTAGAACCATGGAGTAAAATATGGAGGATTCTGAAGAGTGAGTGTGAGAGTACTCCCTGGTGTGATCTGTTCTAAGAAATAGAAGGAGGTGGGGCATCTGTGTGGTTCAGTTACGCGTCCAACTAGTGATTTCAGCTCAGGTCATGATCTCAGGGTCATGAGCTCCACATGGGGCTCCATTCTCAGTGGGGAGTCTGCTTGAAATTCTCTTTCCCTCTGCCTCTATGCTTCTCTGTCTCTCTCTCAGTTAAATAAATCTTTAAGAAGAAGAAAAGAAATAGGAATTACAAACTGCTAAGAGAAAAATGTATTACTGAATCATCCTCCAAGCTCTTAATGTGCCTCCTAACCTATAAATTCTTTCTCCAGAAGAAATAGGAAACAAATATCAGTAATTATTATAAAGCACTTCACCCAATAAAAATAAGTGTTGAAAACCTTAATTGAAAACATATTTTGTGTATTTTGAATAAAGCTTTTATATTCATATACTACTAAAATACTCATATAAAAGTCAAAAATTCTGCCCATCATCTGGCCACTCTGCCTGCCTTTAAACATTTAAATGTGTTTAAGTATCTTAGAGTCTAGTCTTATGTAGACTAACACCCAAATGACTGAATGATTTGGTTTGTGTAGACATAGAAAAGGTATATTTTTTGTACAAACCTTCACATTTTGAGAGGACTTCTAGGACAAATTGAAATTCAATGTGTTCCTTCCTCTATTTTAAATATTGACACTATTTCAATTTCCCTATGCATTCTAACTTGAAAGTTAAGCATTAAATACACAGAAACTCTGCTATAATCTATGGTCAAAAAAATTTGTATTCCTCTACATTATGGCAAAAAAATTCTTTTAGGAACAGAAGGAAATATTATGAGTGGAACTTTCATTATGGCTAGAAGTGTTTGAATCAGTGATCAAGGTTTTCAGAATTTTAAACAAGTTGTACAAGCTGAGGAGGTAATCTTCAATTACATCGATAGGGAATACTTACATGGCCATCAGAGCAGCCCCTGGGATTTGAACACTGGTCAGGTCTCTCTGTTCATTCCTGGCATACTCAGTTTCCAGACTGTGAGCCTAGATTCATGTAAGAGAACTGAATCTGAACTAGCAGACTTAATATTTTATTTAAAAATTTTTTAATTATTTGATTTTTCCCTAAATTCAGACATTTACATTAAATTATAGTTAATTTTCATGGGATGGAATGGGCAGGAACATTTAGCCATAATTTGAACATTCTTTTCAGACAATTTATGTAGAGTCACTAAGAAAATATATTAACAGGGCTTTCTTTTATATGAGCAAATAATCAGAATTGGCTATATTTTCAAGAAGACAAAAAGGACAATAATTTTGTTTCATATTGACTTTGGAAAGCTTTCCCTTCAAGTTCATTATTAAAACTTTTGGTTGACCTTTTTCTGCTAGAAAACATCTTTAATACTGATGGAGTTTTTCATGCTTCTTAGTAATACTAATGAGTTGAATAATTTATGAGGTTGTCATGTGCAAAAGATTTGGTGTGATTTGATATACTTTCCACCTTGGTGTTGGAATGTGATTAATAAAAACCTAGAGGCATGCAATTTTTTCCTGATGCTTAATGTTCTTATTTTATATGTATTCAGTATATTATTTAGGTGTTTTCTAATGGTAAAATTTCATATAAGTGCAAATTTTATTGATGACTGAATTTTACAGACCATAAGGAAGAATATAAGGAACATATTTTAAAACTCATAAATACATCTTCTAACTTGCAGGCTTTTCTTCTTTGGGACAAATTAGCTAATGAGGAAATGATTGAAAAGGGAGGTTTTGTATATTGTTTATATATTTAAATAAAACCTGAAGTGGTCAACTTCTGGTACATTTTTGGTGCTTAAAGATGATGCTATCAAAGGATAGTGCAGAATCCTAATAAGTTTGGTTGTCTTTGTGACTGTCGATTATCATTTAAGACTCTGTTTCCCTTCCATAAAATTATAGTGGAACAATGTTTCATCAAAGCCTAAGATCGCAAACTCCCCCATGTCTCTGATCAAAGACATCATCTTAAATAGGTCTGATCAGGCATTGCAGAAGAGGGCAGACTGCTTCAGCTGGAAGAAAAAAAAACATGGAGCAAAGATGACAAAGTTAATCAGTCATTTCTTTGGCAATAAATAATAAGATATGCTGAGAACTGCAAATGAGAACATCCTTAGGTTCCTCAGAGATGTGTCTGCTTAACACCTGATTTATCTAAGCTTGTGAAGCCATCAAGATATGACCTTGATGAATAAAAAGCAGCTCTGTAATGAATCTGAATTAAATTAGTTTTGATGGTATATGCGTGGCTACTGTAATGTGCTACTTGCAGAAATAAGGAAAGCACTGAGAATAAAAAATTCTAATGCATCTATAAAAATTGTTCAGAAAAAAGCTAATTATCTGAC